CGAAAGTGGCCCAACTTTTCCACCGCGCCGACAGACTGATCGCCGCGCGACGAAAGCGTCACTCGTTGCACAACTCCCCCTTTCCCACCTTTGCTTCGTTTTGCTTTTTTCAACCCTATCGTCAGTGTTAACTACGAGGAAATTATATTTCCACCTTGCGAAGAAACTTACTCGCTCCTCGAACGCACCGTATCGATGATCGATGCAATGTTGCTGGACATGTAATAAATTTTAAATCTCGAAGCAACTGACGTTTTAATCGTTAAAAAAAAGATCGATGTTTCGTAGGGACATTTTTCGCAGTGTAACAATTACAGTTGAAAATCTCAAACCTTCGGGTAAAAAATCACATCCCTCTCTTCGTTCTCGGGCTACACCTTGCGAATAACGCTCGCGGTTTTCCGAGCGGTGAAAACGGAAAGTGATTTTCATCGCCGGCGCGCGTAGATATATATATGTTTTTCTATCATTTTCCGGCGGGATAAATTATTCATGACAAGACGGTCACCTCCGGTTATATCATCAGCGTGACGTTCGAATGTAAATCATTTTCTAGCCGCGGCAATTTTCATATTCATCTTATCCTCGAGAGTCAAATGAATTTTTTTCGTTCTGCCCGGAGCTGATTTCCGAGCTGCGAGCGAGAGGAGGCCCGGCACCTCCGGATAGCGGAGGTGAGACTTTTTGAAAAATATGAGTTTAATAAAGAAGAAAGTATGATGTATAGCCGGCTGCCAAGGGAGAGAACTTACTGGGATCAACCGACTTCGATACCCAGATATTGTATGTGTAATATAAGCAGATGAAGGGAATTGCCGCGATCTACTGGGTGTCGAGATATTATTTCGGTAGCCGCACTGCCTCTCAACGTATTAAATCGTTGTATCATCGCCGTTCGTGAAATTTCTTTAACTGCACTTCTTACACGCAGGACGTAATAAAGAAGACTGTCTACATTACGAATTCAGAGTTAGTTCGAGAATCAATGGAATTATCAATTTAGAATCAGTCCCATTGTGTCAAAGGAGCTGTCCGTCCCATGAAAAAGATGGATACGAACGATACACGATGTATCTTCATTAAATCGGGAAGCGCAGCGCGATAAAATCAGGCAATCGGGCGTCGAATATGTTCCTTCGTCACTCGTTTCAGATATTTCCCCCTTCGGAACGGCACAATCCGGGAGGAATTTCCATGGAAATCGATGACACCATCGAAGACAGTTTCGATGGAGGGTGGGAAAACGGTGAATAGATATCCGTAACTTATCCAGATAAGGGGTTGTAAAACGTTGTAGCTATCTGCCAATACGGTTTGCTCCCTTTTGCTTCCGTCGAAGGGAGCGGACGGAAGATGCCTTGCATCCAGGTTGCGGCCAGATATAGAGGGAGCGATTCGGCAGAAATTGATGCCATTTGAATATCGCTCGGCTGCGACGCGCCTCCGGGATGATGCTGCCGCGTTTGTATCGTTTCCTCCCGATATTCCATCTGTTTGCGAAGAATACATCCGGCTCTTTGAAAATCAACGACAGATAACGCAGCGATATTTCACACTGCCTCTGCTCCTCCTCCTTCTGCAGTTGTTTCTTCCTGTTGTTTCGATCCCTTAAAGTCTCTCGTTCCTTCTCTTTTTCATCTCGGGCCGGAGCATCGCCGCTTAATTCCCCACTTAACGCGGCGAACATTAATATAATTACGACAATTAGAGAAGTCGATGGAAGCGCGTGAAACGATGCACGCGCTTTGCATCGGGTGGAGAAGCGAGGGACGAGGAGCGAGGAGCGCCTCGACGCGCTACGTGACGGGGTGGCATCACGTAGGCGCTATCTGCGCCGTTGTTGTTTATCAAAAGCGCACCGGTTCGACTCGAAGTGTGTACATACAGCGCTCAGTGCCCGTCAATGGCGTTTTCTTAGCTTATGCATAAAGCTCTTTCGCTGGCTCCGCCACGTTCCCCGTCCCTGTCCCCTGTCGGGCCTGCTCCTCCCGTGTTCCCTGTCCCCTTCTCTGCCAGCTTCTCATCTCTCACGATTTCAGCCCTCTCGCCCAACCCCACCCCACTCCCCCTCCCGCTTCCCTATTTCATCGAGGCTTCAACCCCTTCTTCGACTGGTAGCAGCCAGCGGAGCAGCACGCTGCGTCTCGCTCTCTCGCTCGCGAGAGTGTTTCCGCCAGGATGTATCGCAAAATCTATACCGTTGAGGGCGCGAGGAGGTGAGACGAAGGCACCGGCAAAAGGGAGGTGGGCGGAGGGGGGGGAGAGGAGGAGAGCAGCCGAGAGTCAGAGGATGAGACGGAAGAGTGGGCGATGTGGCGGAGGCCAGGGTGGTTTTCGAGAAGGGTGAGCCCCGTCACATTTCACTACAGACTAATAACTTCTGAATATTCATTTCGTGTTTCTCCTTGCCTGCTTGCGTATCCGTAAGCAAGGCTAATGCGACGCTCACAACGCTCGCAGATTTTCGGCCGATATGTCCCGTTCGCGTACGTTGCCACTTCATCTTTCGTCTCGCTTGGCGAGAGAGTTTCAG